ATTGCGGAGTCCCCGCATGTCTAATAGTAGAGGCCTGTGTAGCACTCTGAAAATAGAATTGATTTCCCTGCCCATGGTGGGATAAAGTGGAGTGAAAAATATCTATGGATGCCCCATCGATGACTGGGATTGAGATGTTCCATAACTTTGGGATCCATGCCTCTAAGGACAATCCCGCTTCAAGTGATCTAGCTGGTGGCATATATAACAATCCCTCTAGCTAGCCTGATAAGTGGCCCTAAAATTTGTCCCACCTTGTCCTTGCCTTTGACAGCCTCTTCCCTGCCCTTGATACCCTTGTGAGTTAGATGTCTTTTGCTTCTTCCTCAAACTAGTAGAAAATGATTAACCCTCCTTCTTCTTGTTTTTAGCATCGGCCTCCCAGATGCTCTTTGAGTCTTCCATTTCCCTCTCAATGGCCATGACCATATTGACCATTGATTCTAATTCTTGTTGGCAGTGGCCCACAATCTTACCTCAAATGGACAACTTCAAGCTAGAGTAGTCGATAAAATGGTCTAGCTCAATGAACTTAATCACGTATTTCATCACCTTGATAGTCTCTTAGCTCGATGAACTTAATCACGTATTTCATCACCTTCATGGTCTCAATGTTCTTTGAGACCCTTGCCCAATTCCAGCATAAATGGATCTCTCTCTTAAGCTAAATATTGTCAGCTTGATCTTAGTGGCCTCGGATGTGATCTCCATAGCCTCCAAGATCTTGTCTATTTGTTGGAACCAATGGTTGGCCACCATCGGATCTGCACCTTGAACTTTTGGAGGCTTATTGGTCAAAGGCCTCCATTGTGCCTATAGTTTCCATAAAGGCTTATTGGTCAAAGACCGGTGGTGGTTGGTTGTTGTTCTATCCACCCCCTCAGTCGTTCCAGTGTCCTCTTCCTCTATTTGTCATCTACAAACACATAAGATAGCAATAGACTACTAACTTAGTGCTCCAAGGCTAGGGATCGAAGTTAAAACATTGAAAATTTTCCTCCTATCTAACTAGTAAAAGGCATACCACCTACCAATAGAAGCCTAAATCTAAGCTTTCCCATTCTTTCTCTTTTTTGAATCCAAGGTTATGTTTTCTAACCCAAGTATCTCATTTTTATATACATTTAATCATAGATATAATCACATATCACATAACATGTAGTGCATAATGAATGCAATGACTTAACCTAATCTACCCTCAAAGCCAAGGTAATCGGGAACCTAAGCTTTGACACCAAGTTGTGACACCCTAAAATATAGGGGTCATTTCTTAACCTTTCATCACCCATCAATCTATAGAAAATATCCATGAGTACCGTATGACCCGATACATGGTATCGCTAACTGAGCCATCTGGTTGCCGGTTATCAGTACTTAAGTGATGTGGTACTTGTACTTGTGCCTTCTGTTTTCTAGGTACTAATATCTATATGACTTGGTAATAGTACCTAGGCCTTTGTCCTTTGGTGTACCTATACCTGAAGCCTTGGTACCGGTACTTGAGCCCACTAGAATACATGTATTGGTATCCGTAAGCAGTACCGATACTTAGGTTATCCGACAATGTGGTACCGATACTTGAGCCCAGATTTTCCCCCAATATTTCCAATTCTCAACCTTTAACCATCTAATCTCATTCCATATTCATCCAAACTCATACAACACTCATTTACATCAAAATATGGTCCAAAAGATTTCATTACATTATCTATTACCAATATACAAGTTCAAAATGAATTTACATATTTGATTTATAAAATGCAATTCAAAAGCCACTTTTCGGCTTCGTCATCAACAAGGACCCAAATGAGGGTCGTCCACCGGTGCTTGTCCAACACCTGAAATATGTTCGCATAAAGGCTGAGTCACACTCAATATGGTATCTCCTCAGGAGGTTCCTCCCCAACCCAGAAGCATATAAAATGTTACATGCAATTCAACAAATCAAGCATCCATTCAAATAAATTCATTTCTCAAATGAATAGTACTAATTCATGTCATGCCTTGAGATGAAACTCATGCATGCCATGATTTGGAATAACTTAGGAATGATGCCGATGAGAACACCAAGATTGCCAAGACTAGAATGAAAAATTTTCAAAATAAGAACATTGTGCGAAAAACCTTTAAACCTTTCAAAATGTTTGGCTTTATAATTCCTACGTCCACCTTTTTCCTAGTACGTTGAGGTCAAGGTGGTCAGGCCCATTTATAGCTAAAGAGGTTTTTCCCCATGGAGCAGTTGAAATTGAAAAACCAAAAAATGGGAATATTTTTAAGGTCAATTGTCAAAGATTGAAACCATTTTTGGTAGGATGTATGGTTGAGGTGGAGTCCATTAAGTTGGTGGATCCTCAGTATTATCTTAGTAATTGATTGTGAACTTCATTTGTAATATAGTGTATAATAGAATTTTCTTTTGTTTTATTAAATTTCCTGTGTAAGTTCCTTTTTAGTGATAGATTTGGTGCTAATTTTGCGGATAGAGGTATGCCTTTTCACCTATTCAACACATTTTTATGCAACTTATTGCTTTAAGTATTCATTGAGGACAATGTGTAATTTAGGTTTGGGGTGAGATAGTGTTTGATGCATAATCTGTGTCGTTTGTGATGAATTTTTATTTTATTTACTTTAGTACTTGTAATTAGTATTAATTAGGATAATGCATATAGAATAGGAAAGTAACAGATAATTGTGATGTCCTTAAAATTTTAGAGAATTAATTTTCAGTGACAACTTGAGGATGGGAGAATGATTGATTTTTCCCAAATTTTCACATTTATTTTCAAAAATTTCAAAATTCGGAGTCAATTTCCAAACTTGGAGTCAATTCTGAAAGGAAATTCAAATGTCTTACTCACAAAGGAAGGTGTTCGAACGCAAAGCTTGCTTTAGGACGCATTTTTCCAGAGACTTCAAATCGTTAGGATGGGTCTCTGGTGTCCGGATGAGACTTTTTGAAATACCTAACCCCATGAATGTTAACCGACTTAATTCTTGCATCAAAACGTAGGAAGCCCGTCCGAACGCGCATCTGGTCTATAAAAAGGGTGTCGTTATCTCCTTTAGCCTTCATTCTCACGAAAGCCCACCTTCGAACCTCCATTAAAGATGATCCAAGGTTTGAAATTCATGATTTCCACTCCAAAATTTGTTCAAATCTTTTTAAAATCATCTCAAATCTCTCCTACACTCTAGATGTCACCCTTACTCTACCTAAAACTCATCTTTTGCCAAGAATACTAAACCGTTATTTTCTTGATAACTTGAATCTTTGTTTCCATAATGCCACCCAAGAGGAAGTGATCAAAGAAACCCCAATCCATTTCCCAAGCTTCAAGAGTTTCACCGCCAGTTCGCAAGCCTAGGGTGTGGGTTGACGAGTATGGGGTGAGGTAGCGCTTTGATCATACCCATTTTCCTACATGAAAGTCTAAGAAAAGGTATTTTCATTATTTTTCATCTCATCCTATTGGGCTGGAGTATAGTTGAATTTTGGAGGATTTAATGGGGTATAAGGTTGGCTAGATGGCAAAGGAGAATGGTTGGGATAATTTTTTGAAAAGAATGGGAAGGAATGCTACTCCTTTTATCTGTGAGTTTTACTCCAATGTCGAATGGATAGTTTCTAAGAGCTTTAGGACTACGGAAATGGGAGTTAGTTTTGTGGTCAATTCTGTGATGATATCTCAGATAACCAAGCAAAACAACATCTTGATGCCACAATACACGTTTATTACAGTTTATGATATGCAGAATGTGGCTAGGGAACTTACTACAAATCCTCACTTCATTTGGCTTCAAAGAGACATGAAGCTAAAGAAAGAGCAGTTGACAAACAAGTATAACATCCTGAATTGGATCTCAATGACTAGTATGCTTTCTGCTAGCCAGGAAGAATCACATCTATTCGGATCAGGCTAAGCTATTGCATGCCATCGGAACTAGATGTACCGTCTATCTGTCCACTATCATTCTTGTCGAGATGCAACAAGCTCTGAAAGACAAAACCAAGAGTACCTCCCTTCTTTTTGGATATTTAATGACCTCTATTTTGATGGATTGGGGGTATTGGGGCGACTGAGGACATGTAAAAGGAGAAGCACTCCCAGGTTCTGGACTATAAAACTTTGGTGAAGAGCCGTGGAGCTATGGGTAGAGGAGTAGCTCCAATTCTTGGTGTCAATGAGCCTGCTGAGGAGGAGGAGGCAAAGAAGCAAGTTGATGAGAATGGTGAGGAGAGAGTGGGTCCACTAATGAGAGACCCTACAAATGGATGATCCAATAGAGATCTCTTGCTCCAGATTCTGGAGGAGCAGAGATAGATTAGAAGTACTCTGGCAGAGCATTGCGAGATCTTGCACCGCCTACAGCTTGGACCACGAGATGGAGCGGCCCTTCTATTTAGATGATTTATGTTCTATGTGTTTATTGTTCTTTTTAGTGTCTAGTTAGAATTTAGTTAAGTCAAAGCCTTAGTCATATGTATTTGAGTCAGGGCATGACTCAATTTGCTTTTATTTTCAGTAGAGTTGTAGTGAAAACCCATTTTGACAATTATACTATGGTTTTATTGCACGGTTTTGAATATTAATTTGCTTAATTGTTTTGGATTATGTCTGCATAATAAGACTAATAATTAGATGACAATTAGTAATGAAAATATGAACTTGTTTATACTTTAGTTTGTTATAGAATTATAGACTATTCTTTAGTATTATAGATTTTAGTGTTAATTGTGGCTATGATCCCCAAACTATGAATTTTGTCTCATTTTGGTCCCCAACATTCTAATTGGATCAAATTAGTCCCGCAGGTATTACATGTGCACTTAACTATTCCCTGCCGTTGACACCGTCCACAATTTGATGGTTTATAACCATGTGCCATCCGCGTGACCTCATGTGAGGGGCTTATGTGACATTTAACTTCCCACTCCTAGAAGGAAACCTTTCCACTGACAATGGTTGTTATATCTCTATGACTCTATTTATTTGTTACAGAGCATAGGATAAAAGAGGGAGAAAATGAGGGGACAGGAAGGGATCAATTGTAGCTGGAATGGAGGCAACACCATGCAACTGTAGACAAATCGGAAAAATAAGGACCTCATGGACCAATACCAACCCAGGAAGAAGGTTCATTGGATGTGAAAGATATGGGGTAAAAAAGATGTTCTAGAATTTTTTTTTAAAGTTTACTATGAGTATTAGTTTTCGATTTTGAATTCCTTTAACAAAATGTTGCATTTGTAGGAGGCTGGAGGGTGTGGATTTTTTGTTTGGTATGATCTGCTAATGTGCGATAGAGCAACACATGTGATACATGAATTGTTGCGATCAATGCGAAGACACGAGAACTTGCAACGAAAGGCAAAAGCGAGAGAAAAAATATTATGGGTTGCTCTGTTCTGTTCTTGGACCTTTTTTATTTTCACATGGGTATGGCATTTACTATAAGTAGGAGTGACCTATTTTTTTGTGGAGGGTGCTCTATTTTTGTATAGAGGGTGTTCTGTTTTTGTTGTGTAGGAGGGTCCCCTATTTTTCTTGTGAAAGTGCCATTTCCTATTAATGTAACTATTATGTTTGATGCAATTGGAAGTGTAACAACCTTTTTGCTTTTAGTCAACCTATCTATAATGCTGATTTCCATTAATGCAACAACCTCTTTGCATAAAAAAAAAAGATGTCCATAATGTTGATTTTCATTAATGTAACAACTTGTGTGCATCAAAAAAAGAAGTCCATAATTACAAGTTGGTCTCTTAGTACAAACCCAAAATGAGAGCAACAAAGAGTACATAAAAGGTTATAAGCCACATTTAAATTCTCATTACAAACTCAAAAGAGAGCAATACATTTAAATTGCATATAAGCTTAGCTCCAAGAGAGAGAGAGAGAGAGAGAGAGAGAAGTTGCAGATCAGCTATGGGTGCGTGTTGATTTGCTTCTTCTGAATGGTATTTTATCCCTGCGAGTACAAATGATGAATTCATTGCTAGTAGTTGATGGTGAACCAATGGTTCAACCTTGAAGCTATATGGAGAAAAAGGTAAGATATGAGCAAAAAAGTTCAATGAAAAAGCATTTCAATGGATTACCTGAAGATTTATTGTGTCCAGTTCAATGAAATTATTTAGCAACAAATACCTGTTCAAAGCAAGACCTTCTTTTCACAATATCTTGGCTCCCTCTAGCTTTGCTGACAGCAGCTTGGCTCCCTCCAACTTGGCTGACAGCAGTTTGGCTCCCCCCAGCTTGGCTAACAGCAGTTTGGCGCCCTTCAGCTTGGCTCCCTCTAACTTGGCTCATAGCAGCTTGGCTCCCTTCAGCTTGGTTTCATTATGGCAGTGTAGTAGAACAAGTCCTCCTATTATGCCCAATTTTACCACATCTTCTACAATTAACTGATACATTTGCATATTTCCTTAACTTATGTGGTTATTTTTTATAAATCAACTCAACAGGTTCCTTCCTCCGTAATTTTTTTGGCCTACCAGGTTGTCTCCTAATGAATGGAGGCAATGATGGGTCAATACACTTTTAGGCCACATCTTATGTCCATTAATGGGGTTTATGATTGGTTTATAAGCCTGCATGAATGCCCCCTTCTTGTACTGCCCAAGAACATAGTCTTCTGGTTGTTGTCCCCTATTTTGGATACAAGCTGTGGCATGTGGGCATGGGATCCCTGTTAAGTCTCATTTCCTACATGAGCAAGACCGCTCCTTCAAATCAACTGTTTATTGGCCTCCATTAATACACCTTATCTCAAACTTCAACTCACCATGCCACTAAGCAATACAAGCAAAGCTATCACCTTTCCATTTCTCTAATCTCTTTTGAATCTTAGGGCATATATCACCACTATAATTCCTAACCCATTCTCTCCTCTTCAACATTCTTTGAGTTAAGTAGCATCTAATCCATTCTAGCATTTCTAAGATGAGTTTATCCCTCGCCTCTATAATTGCCCCATTAAAACTCTCACATAGATTATTTAACAAAATATCACACTTGGGTTCTACTCTGAAGTGTGACCTACTCCAGTTCCTTGGTGGATCATTGGCCAACTAATCAAATGCCTTCTCTTCTTCTTCTTTCACCATTTTCATTTCATAGTCAAATTCTAAAATATGTGTTGCCTTAGCACATTTCCAAAATTTCTTCCTAATATCCAATCCTTTAAAGTGTCTAATGAAATTGTTTAGCATGTGCCTAGCATAATGCCTATACTCAGATACTGGTACTCTCTCAGTCAATGCTAGAAGCAAACCCTGCACATAATATACAATAATTATACTTGCAGCAAATGTGTTAGTATAAAAATATCTATCAGAATATACAAATAATTAATACTTACCTTCTGCCTCCACTGCTGATGGTTTTGATCAGTTATGCCTAAGTCAGTGCATAGTACTGTTAAGAACCATGCCCATGATTCCTTCATCTCAATCTCAACAATACATTAGGCAATAGGAAACATATAATCATTAGCATCTATATCAACAACAGTCAACAATTGTCCACAATATGCCCCTTTCAAGTGGCAACCATCTAATCCAATTACTTTCTTGCATCCTTGAACAAATCCCCTCTTACATGCTACAAGACATACATAAAACCTCTGAAATATAAGTTCACCATTTTCCTTATCACCCGGTGCATCCAAGATATTTATGGAACCAAGGTTAGCTTTCCTTAGTTTCTCATAATGATCCCACAACCTACCATATTGTTCAATTTCATCTTCATGTATCAACAACATTGCCCTTTTCTTTGCTCTATACAATTGATTCCTTGATATGTCAACATGAAACCCTCTTTTTAAAAGCCTTTATAGGCCAACAAGGATTGATTCTTAGTTCATCCATATACTTCAATGCTATCATCTTTGAGTTCATATTTTTGTTACTATAAGTTTTCCCACGTGTATGCTTACCAATGTATGTATTTATTCAGTATGTTTTTTCACCATGCACTCTACAATCATAAACCAGCCAACTGCAGCCCCTTCACATTGTGCCCTCACCCTCCTCTTATCTTTTTTACTACTTTCACATTTCTTTGATGTATGATAGCATGTTGTCTAATGGCAACCTTGATCTCCTTAGATGTACTAAATAACATACACAATTTAAAATGTGGGTCTTCCTTATCTTTTTCTACCCCAAATGCTTCAATTTTTTTATGTTTTCTTGCATGATTTTCCCCATCAAATAAACCGAAGCAACTTAAAATCTCCTCAGAATCACCATCTATGTCATTGAGTTCTAACTGCTGCCCTTTGTCTGTTGCTATTTCTTTCTACCTATTACTCTTCAAACCAGTCCATTCAGCTTCCTTATCAACATAACCATCACAACATGTCATCCTACTCATTTTCATAATCATTATCAACCAAAAAATCATAGTCACTAGATTCAGAGTCAAGTTGGTATTCACTGTCTAATTCATCACACTTTGATCTTACCCTTTTCCCCTTATCAACTGAGACATCACCATCTACATGATGAAAATATACCTAAGCCACCCTATTTCGATTCAAATTATGCACTATATCCAAAACCTGTTCATCACTAATCATATGTACTAGCCCTTTTGTCCCAATCCATACCAAGAATTCTGTAATAATATCCAATGTATGGAGCATATCCAATAGTAGAGGCTATATCATCCATTTCAATAAGCGACATCAAGTTAACATCACAGTCATTTATGCAATCCATATGTCCTTCAATGTAAACTTTGTTTGGCTTCTCCCTAAATTCACCACTGTGGTGAACCTCCATTGAGAAAAGTGAAGAATCAGACCCTATATAATTTTTTTTTTGTCACAAATATTGTCAAAAAAAAAAAACTTAAATAAACAACTGATCTTCAAGGACCACATCAATTATAAAATATTTCAACTAAAACAAAAACTATTAGTTAACAAAGAGTTTCCAATGACCACATTAACTATAAAATATAACTAATAATTTTTTTTGCATAAATAAATGGTTTTGAACAAACACATAAACTATATATTATTGAATACTGACTTTTAAAAATTAGGCTTGCCCATGAACCTCAGATTCAAATCTATAAGAATGAATACATGCCATAATAGGGAATGTCTTCATCTACATATTGATTCCCAGTGTTCCTTCGTTTGAAACGTACCATCTTTGCGCTTTGCCCTAATGGTGTTGTGCTTTGCCTTAATGGTGTTGTGCTTTGCCCTAATGGTGCTTTTCCCTAATTGAAATCAAACAACTTGCAGAACAGAGGGACAATCGCAAAAGATATAAAGATATTGAAGAGTCAATCTGTCAATTTAACTAACAAAAATGGGAGGTTAAATGTCACATAAGCCCCTCACATATGGTCACGCGGATGGAACATGGTTATAAACCATTAGAATTTTGGACGACGTCAACAGTAGGGACTAGGTAAGTGCATATGTAATACATAAGGGACCAACTTGATGCAATTAGAACGTTGGGGACCAAAATAAGACAAAATTGATACTTTGGCGATCACAACCGCAATTAACCCTAGATTTTTTTTCCCAATTGAAACTTAGAAAATATGTGCACATACAACCTTAATTGTGTTAGAATTTATTAGAAGATATGATACTTTGAAATTGACACATATAGTGGAAAATAGTATGATGTCCCTTGTGAGTTTCGAGCCTTTCATTTTTTGAGTGAAATTTACATTCACTCAATAAAAGTAATTTCATTTAGCTTTATTTCTTAAATAGTTTAATTAATTTTGTTTTGATCAATACAGATATAAGAAATGGTTGCTTGATTTTGAATTATTTGCATAGAAGAGTGTGTTACTAAAAAAATCACTTCAGACATCATTTTAGGCCATCTTTATTATTATTTGAGCCTTTTATTATCCTTAGAAGTCATGATTGAGCCTTTTGATGAAATTTGTTTGTTAACTCATATACAACAACCAAGCTAAGTATCATACAATATCCTTACCGTTGGTGATCCTGAGATTTAGTGGTATCGTGACTATGCAAGGGAATATGTGGGTAAGACTTTTTGAAAAAAAAACGTGAATCTTTGATACAATTATATGATTGAAAGTGTTTGACTTGCTGAAAGAAGTGTGTACGTTTGAAAAAAAAAAAGATGAATGAAAGGAAGAAAAAAATTTAGAAAAAGAAAGAAAAATCATATGTATAAGGAAGTTTTGAAAGTTTATGTCAATAAATAGGGGGCTACAAATTTTCTCGGGGTAGTCTTTTGAATTTTTATTTCCCTTTGATTTTGTAAACCATTACCCAAGGCCCTATTACAACCTTAGAAAAAAAAAACCTAATTGATCTGAAGAGCTATTAGAGATGCATGACCTGTATGGATGAGGATGTTGGTAGCTGTGTTAAGTATTATGTTTTGATTTCCTATCATGAGACTATGCTAAATTATTTTCCTGATAGTGTTCATTGATTATAAACATATGTGACATATACTTAGGTTCAATTTTAAGAAAATTCTACTTATAAATGTAAGAATAAGAGAATTAGTCAGTACAATCTGAGTGAGTTGATTGCTGAGGTATAACTTGAGTGAGGATTGATTCAAAGCTAGCAATGGATAATGGAGAAGTACTATATTTTTTATTGATTTTCTGAGCATATAAGGAGGTTTCCACACTACACATGAGTTTCGATGGGGATATAATTTGTAAATACTGTTGTATAGTTTGTGGTTCTATGATCTGGCTTGGTATGCACTTGTTCATATTTTCATTTGTATATTTTGTTTAATGATTGGTTGGATTATGTAACTTGTTCATATGTGAGGTATTGTATTATTGATGTCGATTTGCACTGATTCTGGTATATTAATGGGATAATCCTTTAGTTTTATGATTTGGTTGATTTTCAGTATTTGAATATTTTATAAGGTAAATTGAGCCGAATTGGATAATCCTTTTGTCTTTGCCTTGAAGGCATGTCACCACTATCTATATGGAGAGCAGTTCGAGATGTTTTTCAAACCACTAGAGTCTGAGATACGTCTTTACACAGCGAAACCTCAATATGAGACAGCGCAGGTGGATGGAGTACCTAGAGGACTATGACTTCACTTTGTATTACCATCCTAGTAAGACAAATGTGGTGGCTAATGCACTTAGTTGAAAGTCATGTGGAGTCTTGGCTAGTATAGCTTCTCGGGAGTGCTAGATGCTCAAGACTATGAGACAGTTCGGGCAGCATTACAGAGATTAGGATCACGGTATCTTGAGAAATCGGGTAGCTATGCCTTCCTTATTGAGTAGAGTGATCGAGCCCTATGGGTAGGATTAGAGATATTGTCCATCAGGGACCGGGTATAGTTGGATATGGGTGGCAATGGCTGGGTCATTCACGTCGATGTATTCTTTGGTTCAGGGGGAGGGTTATGGTTCCTCATTCTACGGATCTAAAAGAGGATATTCTTAGGGAGTTTCATTGTTCTTATTTTGCTGTTCTAAAATCCAAAAAAAATTAAAATTTTTATGAAAAATGGCAAAATGGTAATTAACTGCCACAGTACGGGTTGAAAACCCAAATTTTCTAGAACTCAGATGATGAAACACAAATCACTGTTTAATTCATCTCGCGAAATCTAGTTACCTAGTCAATTTCATTGAATTCCAAGAGTCTGATTTTTTGCATTTTACTACGCAGTCGGGTGTCGCGTAGTAAAAAAAAATGTGATCAAAAATTAATTGCGAAATGTGAAAAATAATTTAAAGTTAGTTCAAATAAAAATATATTAAACTTGAAACGGGACAAGATTTAATTACTTTGGGATAAAATCAGAACCAATAAAGGCGGACGTGTGGCGCAATGAGGGCCAAGTATCTAAGGGGCATAAATATGAGAGAAAATCAAATTTTCTCCCCATTACCCATCAAATTTCCAGAAAAGAGAGAGAGAGAAGAAGAGAGAGAAAACAAGGGTTTCTTCAAGCCTTCTTCTTGCAATTTAGGGCCAACCCTTAGTCAAAATCCTTCAGGACAACAACCAAAGTTCATCTACTCAATGAGGGCTACGTCTATATACCAAAAATCATAGGTTTGACGAAGACTCAAAGACAAGAATTTGGAAATCAAGGATTAAAGGTTGATTTGGGTTCTTGGGAGTTTTCTACTATTTGAATTACGCTTCTAGAGGTATGGTTCCTTTCATAATTAGGTTTATTTCTAACCTATGGTAGAAATATAAAATGGGTAGGGTGTTAGAGATGTAATCTCATATGTGGTACATACCTATGGTAGTTGAAATGTAGAAAATGGGTAGAAGAATGGTTAAAATCAATTCTAGCAAAAATTGAGTTATTTAAACTACTTGTTTGTGATTTCTTGAGATATGTGGTGAAGAGGCGTGTTATGTGTTAATATTTATGCATTGAAAGTGTTTGATGAAATGCCTATATTGATTAAGTGTGTTAATTACATTGGCAATGTTATAACATGCTCTGGGGAGGTTGTTGATGGTAGTTATATGCTTATGGTGTAATTAACCAAGGAAAATGTTGATTGATATTGAGCCTTCTTCATAATGTGCTCATGACATGTTGAACTTCATATTGAAAAATGCAATTGTACATTACATTTGCATATGCACATGAAATATTGCATTCATGGGCATGTGACATAAGTGTGGGTGTGTGCAAGGTTTGATCAAACACCATTATTGGTGGATGATTCATGGACTTGAGAAAGTTGGACCAAGGTTTGATTGAGTCACACGAGTTTGCATTGAAAATAGGGTCAGGGTTAGTAAGAAGGGCTAGACTGTCCCCCTAGTGCAAGACCTGGTGATTTGGATACGTACTCTGTTTGGTATAGAGTCCATAAAGTGTGTCGGCGTATACAGAGCCATTGGTGGAAGTCAATGAATGTCGTGCCAATTGGGTGTCAGTTGGTGGAAACCCATAAATATCCACCCCAAAAGAGACCCCAGAGTTTTGATAGTCATTGGATGTGTAACATCAATGGTAGGGGGCTTGACATGCCCAAATTCATACGCATGACATAGCATGTGTTATGTGAGCCGATGAAGGCTCGGGTTAAGTTGCATGTGCGAGTCTCATCCCATAACATAGCATGACATAGAGAATTCCATTATGAATTGCATATTCTTAGAAGGGTTGTTTGTTGACTGTTGAATTGCATGTGAGCATTTCATATGCATCTAGTTGGAGAGTAGCCTCTTTCAAAGATACCTATTGAGTGTGACTCAGCCTTTTTGGGGACAACATTTTAGGTGCTGGACAAGTGCTGGTGGATGGCTCTCACTTGAGTTCTTATTGATGGAGAAAGTCCGAGATGTGGCTTTAAATTACGTTTTAAAACAAATATGTAATTTAGTTTTTGGACATGTAATATTGTGTAAAGGATAGTGAAACAAACTTGTATGGACAATTTTTTGTATAAAATGATAGGTTATATGAGGTTGGGTGGTTGTTGTATGAGATTGGAAGAGTTGGAGTTGAAGAAGGATTGAATCGGGGGAAAATTGAGATGATCTACTAGTAGAATATTGAGTACCTTTCGATAGAAGTTTTCTAGTGAGCTCTTCTACCAGTAGAACGTTGATTTTCTACGGGTAGAATAATTCCAATGGGCTCTTCTACCAGTAGAACATTGATTAACTACCGATAAAAGAATTCCAATGAGCTGTTTTATCGATAGGACGTTGATCTTCTACCGGTAGGTCCTCTTTAATTTTCAAAAAATTAAAATGTTCTTGTCAAGCCTTCGGACCTTGAGTCCTTTTGTTCAAAGGATGTAA